AAACAACTCCAACAGTCATCCCCTCCAATTCTTAACCCGCAACTCCAACAACGTCATCATCACGAGGTTATCAACAAAAATCAAATGAGGCTCAAAAGGGGAGACTAGGAAATAATTTGTAGAGAAAGAAAAGGATATAATACAATAAACACCTTAATCATATACAAAACTCACAATTCTAATCAATTTATTTCGATGCAGACTCAGGGCAAGTTCTAATCGAACAAGAGCACAACCAATGTATCACAAGAAAACAAATAAGGCTCAAACCTCACTAGGTAGATATATGAATGTCAATGAAAGTAATCAACCAAACATTTCATCACGCTATGCCGCATATGACCAACATCACAACTCATCGAATTCATCAAACAAGTCTTAACTAATCTTGAAATTTCCAAAGTCCATACTCAAAAAATATACAAAACCTACACTAGACCGGTCCACCACATAAGCATGCAAAAAGTCAACTTCCCCCACACTTAAAATAAGACAATGTTCTCATTGCTTCAACACATAACCGGGAAGTCAAAGAACAAGACATAGTAATATCACATAATTAACCAATACTAGCAGCTAACACAATAACTCAGAATAAAGGACACAAGGAAGAAGCAACTCAAAAAGATAAAAAGAGAAAAGGTGTGCAAACCGAAAATATATCGAGTAGAGTAAGCATGCACGTGTAAGTCACTCGCTCCCGCTCAGCCCCAGAACCTCGATATTCCTTGTTCAACTCAATCCTCGTGCTCGAGCTCGAGCTCGAAAACTAGATCCTATCAAGAAAACATCAAATCTCCAAAACTCCAATTATTCAAAGATAAAACTAAAAAGCATAAAGGAAAATATCTAAGAAAGCAATAAGCCACTTGGGTTGCCTCCCAAGAAGCGCTTCTTTAACGTCATTAGCTTGACGAAACATGTGAGGAACTCAACCGGGATCTAAAAAGAAGTGACGATCGTGCCACGCCTTTGTATTCTCTAGCAGTGGTAGCATGGGAAGTGTGGCAAGAAGGCGGGCATGGTGGATCTGGGTGGCTATGTTCTGAATGAAACCGGTGTGGGCACGAGCAATCCCCAGTGATTGACATAGAGCTTTTCCCACCCGAGCTCTATCGTCATCCTCGGGGATTATGAGAACATCCGTAGAACAAGTCGAGCTGAATTCGACCCACTTGGTAGCACAGTGTAATGGCTCCGAAGGTGAATGCTCCAATTCGGTGGCAGGAGGAGGGACTCGAGAAATGGTGACATGGAATTTTTGGTCAAGTCCACGAATCTCTTCCTCCAAAATATGATCGTCTCGCTGGAGTGCATCATCTTCATCTTCGGTCTCACACATGTGCATCGGAATGCATGTTTGGGCACCTACCATAAGATGAGAGTCGTCGACTTTCAACTCGAAAGAGTCGAGACGTGCTGTTAGATTTTCTATTTGAGCATTCAGTCGAGCACACCCGAGCTCAATCTCCCCTTCTCGGTTTGCTTGGGCCATCATACTATCCAGGATGAGATCAAGTTTGGCATCGTATCTCGAAGAGTCATCCTCAAGCTTATCGAAAGGTATGGGTGCTGGATGTGGGTCCACAACCATGGGCTCATTGGCTCGTGACACGATAGAGTCGATGCGCCTCGCTAGACTCTCCAATTGCTCGCTCAGACGGGCACATTTGAGCTCAATCTCTACTTTTCGGCTTTCTTGGGCCCTCATTCGATCAAGGATAAGATAAAGCTTAGCGTTGAATGCGTCTTCTTCTTCTCGAGCTGCTATAAAGGTAAGAATTCGGTCGAGCTTCTCGTTAAACACATGGGACTCGTAAGACTGCTCGACTGGGTAGGGATCCCAGTACTGCTCGGAAGAGTATGAGTATGACTGGTCGTGGTACCCGGTGTGATAGCTCGGCTCGTGAACCCACGATTGGGTGTGCGGATAGGGAAAAACACGGTTGAAGTTCATAATTCCTGCACACCAAAACAGAACAACCACACGTAGCCACCAAAAGAGAGAAAATAAAGAATACAAAAACAAAGACAAAGAGAAGAACAAAGATTTACGAAAGAAATAACTAAAACACGATAATTACAAACTAAAGAAAACACGAAAAATAAAATGAATACCAAAACCAAATGTCCTACTTGCCTTCCCCGGCAACGGCGCCAAGTTTGTTGTAGCAAATTATTTTTATTTTTATCGAGTACCGAATCAAAAGATTTGTTCCCCGGGTCGATCTCTCGAGGAAGACGGTTCGGAATTTAGCGTTGGTATTAATCACACACGAAAAGAAAATAAATCCTAAACACTCTAATCAAGGATGATTTGGAGAAATAACTAAAACAAGCTAGAGCTAGAAAGGCAACTTAAAGAAATAACAATTAAATCTCTAGAGAAAAGGAAGAAATTCTAGGGGTCGAGAAATCTCATCAAGTTTCAAACTATGTTGAACGATTATTTGTTCGGTTACGAGATTTAACAAGCCTACACGTCTAGAGGGATATGCTCAATAACTCTTCGTAACAAGAGCACATACATAAACGATAAACTCATTCAAACAAGCAACACATAGACAATACATTTCCGAACAAGTCTACTCTATACGAGCCTAAATCGACCGACATCTCCCCTCTTGGTTCTAAACGTCGATTAACTAGGTTAGAATGGTGATCAACCAACTAACCCTGTAATTCACACAACTCGCATAGATTGAACAAAACACATTCCACATAATTCAAACAAGAATCAAAATTCCTAACCCTAGGTGAATGGATTACCTCATGCTTAGATTCAATCTCATGTTAACTGGAATTAAGAACATTAAACCAATCAACAAAAATAAAATAGAATTGAAAAACTTACAATCGGATTAAGACTTGAAAGATTTCAATCCAAATGTCTTTGTGTCCAACAATC